AATGCTGTTCAGAACATGTGGAAGACTGTCGGAAACGTAGTACCTTAATATTGCGTTCCTCCTCCATGATTGGCACCAGCGAAATCAACATTTCTAGAAGCGAATCGATCCTAAGATTCGATCGGCTATCGCAGATTTCATGCTTGATCCTCTTGTGAAATCGCTCGATTAGCATATTAGTTCCGACACATGAGCTTCGTCGTGTAAACCCTCCCCATTGCTCTATTCTGGGGCTCCTTGAAAGAAAACAGTTCGGAAGAAGGCGCTTTTCTTAATGAAAAAGCTTCAAATGACTACCAATATTTTTCCAAAATAGTCCAGCATATGATTTTCTCCTTGCCCTTTGAGGAACGACAAGAGTTGTTCATACTTTTGATGTAATGCTTGCGGATTCGAATGTCCTACACCAGAGATTTTCATGACGAAGAACTGCATTCGAGAAAGTCCCTCTCAAGAGAGTATCCGGTGTATGCGTAAAGTGACGCAAGGGATTTGAACGCACCTTTTTTAGCTTTGAAATGCAATTCCTTTCTACAGATTGAAGTATATGGAACGTGCACAACAGCTTTTGTGCCCTCGATTGAGGAAAAACTTTCAGAAAACCATTGTAAAAAGAATTGCTGTCATCCGTCATAAAGAAATCGGTGTCAAAGTCCAGTTTCAGGCTTCTTAACTTCTTCAAATTAGCAATGCCACTTCGTTTTCGGTCATTCTAAACAAGGCGAGATATATGATTCCAACTGGTAAGGCTCTGCAAATCCGAGATTTCGAACACGAACTTATTCGAAAGCAAATAAGCTGCCGGAAGGCCACGTCCCATTCGTCTACAAGTATGATAGTTGCCAGCCTTAGGCAATAAGCAGTCAGATTGAAAGTGTCATCGAGGCAGAGTGCACGGCTTCCGTATTTCACTATCCATTGTTGCTGCTGGGGCGTTATTATGACTGAAACAGCAATGAAAAATAACACTCTCCTAGGATGGCTTCCAGCTGCCCTATTACCGAGCGTGAACCCTTCACCGGTCTCGTTTAGCGCAGGATTATACAATTGTATCCCATCATCGACGTTTCTTTCTTGCACTCTCTTTTCCACAGATTTAACATCTACCTTGTCCCTTCTAGATTGGTCTGTATTGTTTCGTATGCTGATGAGCTTAAATAGCTACCTACATGGAAAAGTTTTCGCAAAGAGAGCTATGCAACCCCACCTAATATCACTGTACATTGTGTAATAAAGGCGCAGATGTTTGTTCGCTCTCACGACATCTTCACGAATCTTTCTTCACGATTTGGTGGGGCTTGAAGCCCTCTTGCAACAACGATACTATGTATTTTTCAGAAATAGGATCCATTGATAAAATGGCAGGCTCTATGCTATGACCACAATGAGAACGGCAATATTTGACTTCAACACTGTTCCCTTTTTCAATCACCTGAACATTCATCGTTCTACTACCATTGAATTTCAGTGAGACTAAGTATTCAAGTACCTTCATAAAGGCAGTACAATTATCCACTATCTTTTTGGTGCCAGGATGATCAATTTCTGAATATGCTGGGCGTGGTTTTGCACGGCTACACCTCATGTAAGCGACGGACCCCTCTGAGCATTTGCGACGAGTGACTACAGCGAATCTCGCTATGGCTTCGTTTTCTAGAGTATTTTTCCAGCTCTAAAAGACAAAAGCTGCGAGCCACAGATACAAGTGTGAAACAATACAAAGAACCAATTAGGCTTTGTGCGATAACCCACCTCAAATTCGCTCCTATTGTCAAAAGTAGCAGTTTCCACAATAAAATCATCAGGCAAGACAGCATGCTCCTCATTTGCGTGATCTATCAGGTCCCAATGATTCTGAAAGGATCAAGTCAAGTCAGCATCACTCCTAATATGAGTTAAATTCCACTCACCTCTAGTTGATCACTCACACAGTGGACATGAAACGAAGCACTCTACTTCCTTGTCATTGAAGTGCTCTGGCCCTGTGTTTGGCTAGCCCATCCTTTGTTTTGTACATCTGTCCACACGAGTGGCTAATGTAAGCCTCATTGCAAGATGAGAGAACTTTCTGAGTGCGATTTCCCTCCTTCTCTATATCATTTTTGGAATACCAGTGCACGTCAAATAAATGACGATAAAGCTTCCACCCTTTTTTTTCTCCGCATTCGTGACAGATACCCTCTGAAACTAAAATGGATGTTCGATCGGGGCATGGAGATCATAACAATGGCATAGCAAGCCCAACCTTCGAGAACATTGCTTGACTTTTCAACCGCATCTGAAGAACAACGGACGCTATTGTGAACACCACAAACGTTTTCAGAGTTAGAACTTCCTTCCGCTACTAGATTGTTATTTGCGTCGTGCCCTGAACAGCTTCGAGAATAAGGCTGGGTTGACAAGTTAGCCGAAAGCTTGACAAGTGGCAAACGTTGAAGAATAAAAGGCACCAAAGCGCATTACACAATTATACCACACCGGGGTGAGACGGGTCAAAAATAACGTTTAGCGTTTAAGTATTACAACTGCGAGCCGCCACACAGTTTTACATTTGTTAGGAAGAAAAAAGCACGTGGATTCTAAATCTACTTTCAGTTTTGTACATAATCGCCCTTTAAGCAGCTATAGTCTTCCAGTGTCAATGACGCAAAAATTATCTTTCGGCGCTGCGTTAAGAACCACGCTGGGTTAAGAACTCTCTCATCACGAATTTTCCTCGTTAGTTCCGCAAAAATCCTTGACGTAGCCATTTTCAAATAGTGAAAGTGTCAAACAGATATGATAACAGTTGAATAGAGCAAATCTTTTTGTCTAAGATGACATAACTTTTCAAATTGGACGGGTCCGAACAATTATGGCTTGCTAGGAGCCGTTAAAGAAGCTCTCTCTCACACGGGAGTTTTCTGTTAGTTTCGTCGCGAAATCCTCGAGTAGCCATTTTAAATAAACGAACTCTTGAAGCCTGCTGAATACACCATGTCTTAAGAAAAATTTTCGTATTTTGTTGGCGTAGGTTGCACCAAAGCAAACGTAAAAGATCAATCAATTGAAGTGGTTACAAGCTTCTTTTGATTGAAAGGGGACGTGTAAATTGAGAACCATATCTGTGTAGTACTAGAATTTGGTAAGTCTTGTGGAAGGAAATAAATAAAGAAGAGATGTTGTCATAGTATGCCATTTTTAGTGACTAGTTTGTCGTTTTTTGCTCCGTTTCTCGTTTGCTCGTTTGTAGGACTCATCAATAATGATCATTCTTTGACTTTTTCACTTTTATACTTCTTGAACGAATTTTTTTGGGGGTGGGTTGAAAAAAAGAACTCTCAGTTTATGAAAGAAATCATTTCAAGTAGAATAACGAACCCTCGCTGTTTGATACAACAACTGTTTGATTTCCACTCCACGATGGGTTCGACTCCATCACAGTTCGAGCGACACAGAAGAAGATTGCTATCCTGAAATTGAGCAAGACTAAGATTACAAGATAAAATACAAGTAAGAGTTGAAGCTGTTTGCCGCTTATTCCTTTCCAAAACAAGCACGATGTACATTAATAAAAGAAAACATGAATCTCACCTTGAATTTGGAAGAGGGCAGAAAGTTTTGTTCAGGCCGAACAGTTGCCGCATCTGTTCTCACGCGGGACGGTCTTCCTAGACTTGCATTGACGTTTGACAGTTCCATTACAGCGCCGTCATCCTGAAACAAACTTCGATCAAAAAGAGCAGTACGGACAATTGACGATAAAGAACACTTGGAAAGTTCAGTGCACGAAAAGGCAAAGGGCATGGAACAAGCTCAGAAGCTCTCAAATCAAGTTAGTAAGAGAATCTTAGAAGAATCAGCTAGAAGCTGAAAACGTGACCCTAACGCCGTAATCCTGAGAACACAGTTTAAAGGACGCGCGCTCGGTGCTCCAGTTCCAGTGCGCGCCCCAGTGACAATTGGGTTACGGTGGAAGGCAGGAAACCATACGCATAAATCGTTCTTGTCCGAAATAGTATATGTAACGCCAACATGCTAGGTGATTGAAAGCCGATGATTCAAACAAACAATCCAACACTTATCGTTAGAGAAGAAAACGAAAAAATATTAAACACAACGTGAAGAAATTAACTCATTGTCAGATGTGCATCCATGGGTTGAAACTCTTAATGATCGAAGATTTTCCAAAAAGAGGCTCTCAAAGGAGCTCCCTCACAATTTTCCTTATAAAGCTTACAACTAGACAAAGACAGACAGTACAGCAAAGTAGCGTTCCATCTAGAATGAGAGAGCAAAAAAGGTAAACATTGGGAACATTTCATAGAGAAAAACCAAGAGCATTATCAAGCTTCACCTTTTTTAATCTTCTTTTGAAGACAGCACTACTGATAAAAGTCATAACTTTTGGAGGGAGCAGATTAAGCCATTTAGCTCCGCGACAAAGGACATTATTGAACATCGATTTTTGTTACCAGCGCAGACATAGTGAAGATTGAACCTGACTGCCCTATCACTAACCGACTTGAAGACCCAGTACTTGTTGACATTCAATTTGGATTCTCCACGAAGGACGCGAAAGCAATAGACAAGGTCCGGTAATACGCGCCAACACAGCAGGGTCTCAAACCAGAACATTCTTAGTCGTTCTATATAACTGAGTAAGAGATCACGACGGACGTTATGCGTGAGTGTGTACAACAGCAGCCGTGTAAATACACGATGATCTCTTTCGATTTTCGCAACAATTTTTCTTGAACACGGACTCCAGACTTGGA